CACACACACACACACACACACACACACACACACACACACACACACACCACACACACACACACACACACACACGCGCGCGCGCGCGCGCGCGCGACGGAGATGTACACAGCTGCGGAATCGTGAATATTCCGCCGGTAATCAGTCATGCTTCAACAATCGGTCCTCCGAAATAGTCCGGGAATTACATATTGCATGACTCGCTTTGGCATTTCATAATAATTGTTACGCAACAAAATACACCGTATGAGGATAGCGCGCGCGATGACGACGGGCGCGATAATGGCTTGCCGCTTGTTGGCGAACGTGTGCCGAAGGGAGGCGAGAGCACGCTAATTATAATGCGCGAATATAAAAAAAAAGGGCTTTTTGTACGCGCGTGCGCTTTTATATAACGTCACGTTAATATTATGCAAATCTCCGCGGTTGGCCCGCGGCATTTTCCGCACGCGCAGCACCGCATCGACGGTTCCTTCGCCAGAACGAGCGGAACGAACGAACGGATATGACGGAGTGGGAATAACAGCAGGCTGCCGTAAAGCACTCAAACTCCGTTGGTGGGATAACGCGAGATAAAATATATTCCGGGATGCGGGACGAGTTAACGCGCGAAATATCGGACGGTGATTTACGACGGCGGTGCTTTTAATAAAAAGGCACGAGAGCCGTTTCCGATACGTCTGGCGCGTTTCCCCAAGATATCGCGACACGCAACACGCATATATTGCGCATATGCATAATAAAATATGATACACGGTGCGGTATGATTAGCTGTTTCTCATTAGCACCCCGGCGGATGCTTATTCGGCTTTCAGATCAGTGCAACCGTGTGCAACCCGCACACGGTAGCTCCCAGCGAATCGCGGGCAGCTCGTTTGTGCTCCACCGTGTATTTTGTACTTGTCCATTTGCTTACATGCGTTTCCACTACACGCGTCGTTACGAGGAGTTAGCGCCATCGGACCCCGCGCGCCGCGCCGCCCCCCGCCCTCCGCTCCGTTAATATCCATACGCATATATACATATATGCATATATACGTATTTCGAATATGTGTGTGTGTGTGTGTGTGTGTGTGTGTGTGTGTGTGTGTGTGTGTGTGTGTGTGTGTGTGTGTGTGTGTGTATACCTCGAAGGATGATCAATTTTCACCCACGCCATACACATGTTACTGCAGCTTAGTTCTCGAACTATCGAGAAAACGAATAAACGCGGGACAAACGCGGATTTGACCTTAGCCAATGTAAAGTCCAACTGATAAATAATTTTGAAACAAACTCTCTCTCACAAACTCTTAATTCATTGAAAATTAATTGCCATCGCGATAAGTGAATAATGTGTAAATAATAAGAAGAAATTCTAACAAACCTTTTTTAGCTTCTGATACAGCTATTGAATGAGATACATATTTTCTTCAATGTTTTAAATTATGTTTAAAATATATCAATATTATATTAAAATATATCAATATTATAAATATATCAATATAAAATATATCAATAAATATATCAATGTTTAAAATATATAAATTACATAAATTACATATTCAAAACGTAAACGCAAAAATATTTATTCTCTGTTAATGTTTGCATGATGTATTGTATATTGTATGTATTGTATATTATTTAGCTTTAGTTCATATATCATTAATTTGTGCTTTATAAAATTTATTTTATAATATAATTTTATAATATTTAGAAATAATGTATTGACATAATTTATGTCTTATTACAAAGATCAAGTCTTGAACTACGGAAAAGAAATTATCTTCTTATTAAA